AGGCAGTGAACTGGTCTGGAGTGGCCCAAACTGGTCCAGATTGTTCCAGGGAACTGGGGGTTACTGGTCCAAACTGGTTCAAACTGGTCCAGGAAAACTGGGGGTTACTGGTCCAAACTGGTCCGTACTGGTATGGGAAACCTGGGGGATACTGGTCCAGGGAACTGGTCTGGACTGGTCCAAACTGGTCCAGGCAAACTGGGAGTTACTGGTCCAGGGAACTGGGATTTACTGGTCCATACTGGTCCAAACTGGTCTAGGGAAACTGGGGGATACTGGTCCCATATGAGGCAGTGAACTGGTCCAAACTGGTCCAAACTGGTCTGTACTGGTATTGGAAAACTGGGGGATACTGGTCCCATATCAGGCAGTGAACTGGTCCAAACTGGTCCAGACAAACTGGGAGTTACTGGTCCAAACTGGTCTAAACTGGTCCGTACTGGTATTGGAAAACTGGGGGATACTGGTCCGGGGAACTGGTCTGGACTGGTCCAAACTGGTCCAGAGAAACTGGGAGTTACTGGTCCAAACTGGTCCAAACTGGTCCGTACTGGTCCAAACTGGTCCGTACTGGTGGGGGCATCCTGGGGGTCCCAACCCCCCCTTTAAGGCACTGGGACTCCCCGGGGCTTGGGGGGGGAAGGGGCAAAATTTGGGTGAATTTGAGGGGATTTTGGGTGAATTTTGGGGCAACATTTGGGTGAATTTTGGGGGATTTTGGGTGAAATTTGGGGCAAAATTTGGATGAATTTTGGGGGATTTTGGGTGAAATTTAGGGCAAAATTTGGGTGAATTTGAGGGGATTTTGGGTGAAATTTGGGGCAAAATTTGGGTGAATTTGAGGGGATTTTGGGTGAAATTTGGGTGAAATTTGGGGGATTTTGGGTTCATTTTGGATGAATTTTGGGGTAAAATTTTGATTAATTTTAGGGTGATTTTGGGTGATTCTGGGGTGAATTTTTTGTGAATTTTGGGCCAAATTTTGGGTTGATTTTGGGCTGATTTGGGGTGATTTTAGGGTGAAATTTGGGCTGAATTTTGGATTAATTTGGGGGTGATTTTTGCCTGATTTTTGGGGACGATTTTGAGGTGGTTTTGGGCTGAATTTTGGGCTGATTTTTGCATAATTTTGGTGATTTTTGGGTGGATTTTGGGGTGATTTCGTGTGAATTTAGGGATGATTTTGGGGTGAATTTTCGGGTGAATCTTGACTGATTTTGGAGGAATTTTACAGTGAATTTTGAGTGAATTTTAGGGTGAATTTTGGGTGAATTTTTGCGTAATTTTAGGGTGAATTTTGGCATAAATATTGGGCTAAATTTCAGGTGAATTTTGAGTAAATTATGGCTGAATTTTGGGTGATTTTTGATGGATTTTGGGGTAATTTGGGATGATTTTAAGGTGAATTTGGAGGTGATTTTGGGCCGATTTTGGAATTATTTTAAGGTGATTTTTTGGGTAATTATCAGGTGATTTTGGGGGTGAATTTTGGCTGATTTTGGGGTGATTTTGGGCTGATTTTTGAATTATTTTGAGGTGAATTTTTGGGTGAATTTTGGGTGATTTTGGGGGTGAATTTTGAGTGAATTTTGGGGTAATTTTAAGGTGAATTTTGGGGTAAATTTCGGGTGGATTTTGGGGTGAATTTTGAGTAAATTATGGCTGAATTTCGGGTGATTTTTGATGGATTTAGGGGTGAATTTCAAGGTAATTTGGGATGATTTTGGGCTGATTTTTGGGTGATTTTGGGCTGATTTTGGAATTATTTTAAGGTACATTTTTGGGTAATTTTCAGCTGATTTTTGGGTGAATTTTGGGTGATTTTGGGCTGATTTTGGAATTCTTTTAAGGTGAATTTTTGGGTAATTTTCAGCTGATTTTGGGCTGAATTTTGGGTGATTTTTGGACTGAATTTTGGGTGATTTTTGAATTATTTTAAGGTAAATTTTGGGCTGATTTCAGCTGATTTTGGGCTGATTTTGGAATTATTTTAAGCTGCATTTTTGGGTAATTTTCAGCTGATTTTGGGCTGAATTTCGCATGAGTTTTGATGGATTTAGGGGTGAATTTCAGGGTAATTTGGGATGATTTTGGGCTGATTTTTGGGTGATTTTGGGCTGATTTTGGAATTATTTTAAGCTGCATTTTTTGGTAATTTTCAGCTGATTTTTGGCTGAATTTCGGGCGATTTTTGGGCTGAATTTTGGGTGATTTTGGAATTATTTTAAGGTAGATTTTGGGCTGATTTCAGCTGATTTTGGGCTGAATTTTGGGTGATTTTGGGCTGAATTTTGGGTGATTTTGGGCTGAATTTTGGGTGATTTTTGGGCTGAATTTCGGGTGATTTTTGGGCTGAATTTCGGGTGATTTTGGGCTGAATTTTGGGTGATTTTTGGGCTGAATTTTGGGTGATTTTGGAATTATTTTAAGCTGCATTTTTGGGTAATTTTCAGCTGATTTTGGGTGATTTTTGGGCGATTTTTGGGCTGAATTTCGGGTGATTTTTGGGCTGAATTTTGGGTGATTTTGGGCTGAATTTTGGGCTCATTTGGGGCAATCCCCGCCCCCCTACACCGGGGTCGTTTTCCTGTTCAGGGTCCCGGTGCCCCCCCCGGGGGTCTCGGCCCCTCCCCCCGCCCCTCCCCCCCCCTGCAGCGTCAGGAAAGCCCCGGGGGGGGGCGGGGGAGGGGCGGGGCCGGGCGTGCCGGGCGGGGCCGGAGGTGGGAGGGGCGCAGCCCCAGGGGGCGGGGGAGGGGGAGACGAAGCCACGCCCACTCCGGGCGGGGGGAGGGGCCCTTCCCCGCCGGCCCCTCCCCCCCTGCTCAGGGTGTACATGGAAATCTCAGCGGGGGGAGGGGAGGCCGAGGCCTTCCCACGCTGCTGCGGCTGCGCCTGCGCGGAGGGAGGGGAGGGGTCACGTGACTTGCCGCTGGAGCGCGAGCCCGAGCGCGAGCGGCGGCGCGGGGGGCGGGGCCTGGACAGAGGGGGCGGGGCCTGCCGGGGTAAAAGCGGCGGCGCGGGGGGCGGGGCCGGCGGAGGGGGCGGGGCCTTGCGGTGACGCTCGATGTAGAGGTTGACGGCCAGGACGCCGATGGCCTCGGCCAGGATGAAGGAGACGCCCCCGAAGTAGAAGCTCCAGCCGTAGCTGTAGGGGGAGGGGCGGCGCTCCCCGTCCCGCCGGGGGGGGGAGGGGAGGCCCCCCCCTGACCCCTCCCCCCCGGCGTTGGCCGAGATGTAAACGATGACGCCGATGATGTTGGAGAGGCCTGGCGGGGAAGGGGTTAACAAGGGGAATTTGGGGGGGGGTGGGGGGGGGGGGGTTCGTTAATTCATCGATAAATATAAAAAAATTAATTTAAAAAGGAATTTGGAAAAATTAATTTTTAAATTTCATTTTGAATGAATTTGGAAAAATTAATTTTTAAAATTCATTTTAAATGAATTTTGCAAAAATTTTAATTTTTAAAATTCATTTTAAATGAATTGTGCAAAAATTAAGTTTTAAAATTCATTTAAAAAAAAAAATGAATTTGAAGAAATGAATTTGGAAAAAAATGAATTTAAAAAAAAAATATGAATTGGAAGACGAATTTTAAAAAAATGAATTTTGAAAATTCATTGCAAAACGAATTTTAAAGAATGATTTTTAAAAAATGAATTTTAAAAAATGAATTTTGAAAATTCATTGCAAAATGAATTTTAAAGAATGAATTTTTAAAAAAATGAATAAAAATTAATTTTAAATGGATTTCAAAAAATTAATGTTAAAAAATGAACTTAAAAAAATGAATTTGAAGACGAATTTTAAAAAAATGAATTTTGAAAATTAATTACAAAATTATATTTAAAGAATGAATTTTTAAAAATTAATAAAAATTAGTTTAGAAATGAATTTCAAAAAATTAATGTTAAAAAATTAATTAAAAAAAATTTAAAATGAATTTTAAAGATAATTTTTAAAAAATTAATTAAAAATTAATTTTTAAAATGTGTTTTAAAAATTAACTTACAACTTAATTTTCAAAAACTTAATTTCAAAAAATTAATTAAAAATAAATTTTTAAAAATGAATCTTAAAAAATAAAATCTAAAAAATGAATTTTCAAAAATGAATTTTCAAAAATTGAATTTTTAAAAATTAATTAAAAATTAATTTTCAAAAAATTGAATTTTAAAAAATTTAATTAAAAAATCCTTTTTAAAATATGAATTTTAAAAATTATTTTAAAAGAATTTTTTTAAAATGAATTTTAAAATATGAATTCAGAAAGGAATTTTAAAAAATGAAGTTTTAAAAATTAATTACAAAATTGGATTTGGGTTGAATTCTGGAGATGGAATTTTGCATGGTTTTAGGGGTTTTGGGGATGGATTTTTGGGGTGAATTTGGGGTTTTTTGGGATGGATTTTGGAGATGGGTTTTTGAATGGATTTTGGTGGTTTTGGGGATGGATTTTTGGGGTGAATTTGGGGGTTTTGGGATGGATTTTTGGGGTGAATTTTGGTGGTTTTGGGATGGATTTTGGTGGTTTTGGGATGGATTTTGGAGATGGATTTTGGTGGTTTTGGGATGGATTTTGGAGATGGATTTTTGAATGGATTTGGGGGTTTTGGGGATGGATTTTTGGGGTGAATTTGGGGTTTTTTGGGATGGATTTTTGGGGTGAATTTGGGGGTTTTGGGGACGGATTTTTGGGGTGAATTTGGAGTTTTCACCCCTCACTCACCCGCGGCCATGAAGAGGATGCTGGGATGGATTTGGGGTGGATTTGGGGTGGATTTGGGGTGGATTTTGGGCTTTTTGGCCTGAATTCTGGGGATGGATTTTTTAATGGATTTGCGGTGGATTTGGGATGGGTTTTTGAATGGATTTGGGGCTTTTGGGATGAATTTTGGGGATGGATTTTTTTAATGAATTTGGGGGTTTTGGGGATGGATTTTTGGGGTGAATTTGGGGTTTTTAACCCCTCACTCACCCGCGGCCACGAAGAGGATGCCGGCGCCGAGCACCAGGCTGGTCCTGGCGCGCCGCAGCCGCGAGGCCGCCACGCAGAGCCCCCCCAGCAGCAGCAGCACCGCGCTCAGGATGGGGAAAATGCTCGAGGCCCGGACCACGCCTGCGCGGGGAGAAACGGCCAATCAGGGCCCGGCAGAGGAACCCCGGCGGCCAATGGGGGCGCTGAGGACGGGCGGCCAATCGGGGGGAAGGGTGGGAATGGGAGGTGGAGTTGGGACCAATCAGGGAGCAGGAATGGAGGGCTGACCAATCAGAGCGCAGTGTTGGAAAGGGATCGGGGAGTTCTGACCAATCAGAACCCAGCAATGGAGGGGAGTCTGGGAGTTCTGACCAATCAGAGCCCAGCAATGGAGGGGGGGGGGGGGTCAAATTTGGGAGTTCTGACCAATCAGAGCACAGCAATGGAAAAGGGATCTGGGGGCTGTAACCAATCAGGGAGCAGGAATGGAGGGCGGGCTGGGAGGTCTGACCAATCACAGCTCAGTTTTGGAAAGGGATCGGGGAGTTCTGACCAATCAGAGCTCAGCATTGAAAAGGGATCTGGTTTGGGAGTTCTGACCAATCGGAGCGCAGCAATGGAAATGGATCGGGGAGTTGTAACCAATCAGAAGCCAGCAATGGGGAGGAGCCTGGTTTGGCGGTTCTGACCAATCAGGGAGCAGCATTGGAAAGGGATCTGGGAGTTCTGACCAATCAGAGCCCAGCAATGGAGGGGGGGGGTCAAATTTGGCAGTTCTGACCAATCAGAACGCAGCATTGGAAAGGAATCCGGTATCTCCGGCCAATCACAGAGCCGGGCGTGGTTGCCATGGTAACGGGCGGCTGGGGAACCAGGCTGTTGCCATGGCAACGGCCTCGGCATGGCCGGGACGGTTGCCAGGGCGGCCACTGGGTCGTTGCCATGGCGACGGCAATGCCGGGAGGATGCCGGGAGCGTTGCCATGGTGACAGCAATGCCGGGAGGATGCTGGGAGCGTCGCCATGGTGACGGCAATGCCGGGTGGATGCTGGGGGCGTTGCCATGGCGACGGCAATGCAAGGAGGATGCCGGGAGCGTTGCCATGGAGACAGCAATGCAAGGAGGATGCTGGGAGCGTTGCCATGGCGACAGCAATGCAAGGAGGATGCTGGGGGCGTTGCCATGGCGACGGCGATGCCGGGAGGATGCCGGGAGCGTCGCCATGGTGACAGCAATGCAGGGAGGATGCCGGGAGCGTTGCCATGGTGACAGCAATGCAAGGAGGATGCTGGGAGCGTTGCCATGGCGACAGCAATGCCGGGTGGATGCTGGGAGCGTTGCCATGGAGACAGCAATGCAAGGAGGATGCTGGGAGCGTTGCCATGGTGACAGCAATGCAAGGAGGATGCTGGGGGCGTTGCCATGGCGACGGCGATGCCGGGAGGATGCCGGGAGCGTTGCCATGGCGACGGCAATGCCGGGAGGATGCTGGGAGCGTTGCCATGGCGACGGCAATGCAAGGAGGATGCTGGGAGCGTTGCCATGGTGACAGCAATGCCGGGAGGATGCTGGGGGCGTTGCCATGGCGACAGCAATGCAAGGAGGATGCTGGGAGCGTTGCCATGGTGACAGCATTGCCGGGAGGATGCTGGGGGCGTTGCCATGGTGACAGCAATGCGGGGAGGATGCTGGGAGCGTTGCCATGGTGACAGCAATGCAAGGAGGATGCTGGGGGCGTTGCCATGGCGACGGCAATGCAAGGAGGATGCCGGGAGCGTTGCCATGGTGACGGCAATGCCGGGAGGATGCTGGGGGCGTCGTCATGGCAACAGCTATGCAAGGAGGATGCTGGGGGCGTTGCCATGGCGACAGCAGCAGCATCGCTGGCCCAGTTGCCATGGAAACGCTTGGCTGGGTACCAGGCTGTCTCCATGGCAACGGGAGGATGCCGGGAGCGTCGCCATGGCAACGGCTGGGCCGGGAGGATGCTGGGAGCGTTGCCATGGAAACAGAAGCCAAAGTTGGGTTGCCACGGTGACACAGGGCACGGTCGCCATGGTGACAATGACAATGAGAGGGTCGCCATGGTGACAATGAGGTGACAGTAATGGTTGCCATGGTGGCAGTGACACGGTTGCCATGGTGACAATGTCCCCGTCGCCATGGTAACTCAGCAGGGACTGGTGACAATGAGGGGACAGTGACACGGTTGCCATGGTGACAATGAGGTGACAATGTCCCCGTTGCCATGGTGACAATGACGTGACAGTGACGGTTGCCATGGTAACTCACGCAGCAGGTACTGGTGACAATGAGATGACAATGACACGGTTGCCATGGTGATGGTGACACGGTTGCCATGGTAACTCACGCAGCAGGTACTGGTGACAATGAGATGACAATGTCCCCGTTGCCATGGTGACAATGAGGTGACAATGACACGGTTGCCATGGTGACAATGTCCCTGTTGCCATGGTAACTCACGCAGCAGGGACTGGTGACAATGAGGTGACAATGTCCCCGTTACCATGGTGACAATGACGGTTTCCATGGTAACTCACGCAGCAGGTACTGGTGACAATGAGGTGACAATGACACGGTTGCCATGGTGTCAATATCCCCGTTGCCATGGTGACAATGAGGTGACAATGTCCCCGTTGCCATGGTGACAATGAGGTGACAATGTCCCTGTTGCCATGGTAACTCACGCAGCAGGTACTGGTGACAGTGACACGGTTGCCATGGTGACAATGACACGGTTGCCATGGTGACAGTGACACGGTTGCCATGGTAACTCACGCAGCAGGTACTGGTGACAATGAGGTGACAGTGACGGTTGCCATGGTGACAATGTCCCCGTTACCATGGTGACAATGTCCCCGTTGCCATGGTAACTCACGCAGCAGGTACTGGTGACAATGAGGTGACAGTGACACGGTTGCCATGGTGACAGTGACACGGTTGCCATGGTGACAATGAGGTGACAATGACGGTTGCCATGGTAACTCACGCAGCAGGTACTGGTGACAATGAGGTGACAATGACACGGTTGCCATGGTGACAATGTCCCCGTTGCCATGGTAACTCACGCAGCAGGTACTGGTGACAGTGACACGGTTGCCATGGTGACAGTGACGGTTGCCATGGTAACTCACGCAGCAGGTACTGGTGACAATGAGGTGACAATGACGGTCGCCATGGTGACAATGAGGTGACAATGTCCCCGTCGCCATGGTGACAGTGACGGTTGCCATGGTAACTCACGCAGCAGGGACTGGTGACAATGAGGTGACGGTGACACGGTTGCCATGGTGACAATGACACGGTTGCCATGGTGACAATGTCCCCGTTGCCATGGTAACTCACGCAGCAGGTACTGGTGACAATGAGGTGACAATGAAGGTCCCCATGGTGACAGTGACGGTTGCCATGGTAACTCACGCAGCAGGTACTGGTGACAATGAGGTGACAGTGACGGTTGCCATGGTGACAATGAGGTGACACGGTTGCCATGGTAACTCACGCAGCAGGTACTGCTGACAATGAGGTGACAATGAAGGTCCCCATGGTGACAATGTCCCCGTTGCCATGGTGACAGTGACGGTTGCCATGGTAACTCACGCAGCAGGTACTCGGCGCTGTCGTGGTCGTACTCCAGGTCCTCGGGGAAGTGATTGATGCGCAGGCACAGCCCCCGCTTCAGACCTGGGGACACCATCGGGGACAGCATTGGGGACAGCATTGAGGACATTTGGGGACATTGGGGACATCGGGGACATTTGGGGACCCCAGCAGTGTCACCCGTGTCCCCAGTGATGTCACCAATGTCTCCAACCGTGTCAGAGGCGTCCCCAATGTCCCCAGTGACAGCCCAGGTGCCACCAACCCCCCTGAGCCCCATCCCAGGTGCCACCAATGACATCGGAGGTGCCACCAACCCCATCCCAGGTGCCACCAACATTCCTGAGCCATGTCCCCAATGTCACCAATGACATCCTTGGTGTCTCCAACTCTCCCGAACCATGACACCAATGCCACCAATAATGTTCCTGGTGCCACCAATGCTATGCCAGGTGCCACCAACCCTCCTGAACCATGTGCCCAATGTCACCAATGATGCTCCTGGTGCCACCAACCCCATCTCAGGTGCCACCAATGACATCAGCAGTGCCACCAACCCTCCCGAGCCGTGTCCCCAATGTCTCCAATGATGTTCCTGGTGCCACCAACCTTCCCGAGCCCCATCCCAGGTCCCACCAGCCCCATCCCAGGTGCCACCAACCCTCCTGAACCATGTCCCCAATGTCACCAATGACATCCTTGGTGTCCCCAACCCTCCTGAACCATCTCCCCAGTGTCCCCAGTGATGTTCCTGATGTCCCCAACCCCATCCCAGGTGCCACCAATGACATCAGCGGTGCCACCAACCCTCCCGAGCCGTGTCCCCAATGTCTCCAATGATGTCCCTGGTGCCACCAACCCCATCCCAGGTGCCACCAACCCTCCCGAACCATGTCCCCAGTGTCACCAGTGACGCTCCTGGTGCCACCAACCCCGCTGAACCCCATCCCAGGTGCCACCAACCCCATCCCAGGTGCCACCAATGCTATGCCAGGTGCCACCAACCCTCCTGAACCATGTGCCCATTGTCACCAATGACATCCTTGGTGTCCCCAACCCTCCCGAACCATGTCCCCAGTGTCCCCAATGATGTTCCTGATGTCCCCAACCCCATCCCAGATGCTACCAATGACATCAGCGGTGCCACCAACCCTCCCGAGCCGTGTCCCCAATGTCCCCAATGATGTTCATGGCGCCACCAACCCCATCCCAGGTGCCACCAGCTCTCCTGAACCATGTGCCCAATGTCACCAATGACATCCTTGGTGTCCCCAACTCTCCCGAACCATGACACCAATGCCACCAATGCTATGCCAGATGCCACCAAGCCTCCTGAACCATGTGCCCAATGTCACCAATGATGCTCCTGATGTCCCCAACCCCATCCCAGGTGCCACCAACCCTCCCAAACTGTGTCCCCAATGTCTCCAATGATGTTCCTGGTGCCACCAACCCCATCCCAGGTGCCACCAATGACATCAGAGGTGCCACCAACCCTCCTGAACCCCAGCCCAGGTGCCACCAACCCCATCCCAGGTGCCACCAATGCTATGCCAGGTGCCACCAACCTTCCCGAGCCCCATCCCAGGTGCCACCAACTCTCCTGAGCCATGTCCCCAGTGTCCCCAATGATGTTCCTGATGTCACCAACCCCATCCCAGGTGCCACCAATGACATCAGAGGTGCCACCAACCCTCCTGAACCCCATCCCAGGTGCCACCAACCCTCTTGAACCATGTCCCCAGTGTCACCAATTACACCAGAGGTGCCACCAACCCCATCCCAGGTGCCACCAACTCTCCCGAACCCCATCCCAGGTGCCACCAATGCTATGCCAGATGCCACCAGCCCCATCCCAGGTGCCACCACCCCACCCCAGCTGTCCCCGGGTGTCACCTTCGAGGCAGCAGACCCTCCAGAGGCCGGAGTGTGTGAGCCCCCCGTGCGCGGTGGCCGCGGTCCCCGTGGCCGTCCCCGCGCTGTTGGTGGCGTTGCCGGTGGCGTTGCAGACGCGGGCGCGCGCGTACAGCCAGTAGTCGGTGCCGATGGCGATGGCCATGAGGCCGAAGGCCGCGAAGGCGCCCACGGCCGTCAGCAGCACCTGCACCCCCCGCTCGCACCACAGGGCCCCGCCCCCGGCCCCGCCCCCTGCCCCGGCCCCGCCCTCCCAGCGCTTCAGCGACCCCCAGAGCGGGGGGAGGGGCCGCGAGGAGGAGGAGGGGGAGGGGCTGCGGAGAGGCGGGGGGGAGGGGGGGGCGGAGGGGGAGGGGCCGGCGGTGGCTCCGCCCCCTCCTCCTCCTCCTCCTCCTCCTCCCCCCACCGAGGCCCCGCCCCCTCCCCACAGGGTGAGGATGCCCAGGGTGGGGGAGGGGTTAAAGGGGGGGAGGGGTTAAAGGGGGGAGGGGTTAAAAAAAGTGGGAGGGGGGTGGGATTTTGGGGGGGGTTTTGGGGGATTTTGGGGGTTTTGGGGGGATTTAGGGGGGTTTTGGGGGATTTAGGGGGGTTTGGGGAGGATTTGGGGGTTTGGGGGGATTTTGGGGGGTCTAAAGGAGATTTGGGGGGTGGGGGAGGGGATTTGGGGGGGGGTTTGGGGGGTTTTGGGGTGGGGGAGGGGCTGTTCAGAGGAGTTTTGGGGGTCCCGGGGTTGTTTTTTGGGGGGGGGGTCGCAGGTGCTGGGGGGGGCTCTTCGCTCTCGGCCAATCAGCTGCGGAGAAATGGGGGTGGGGGAGGGGTCTTTAATGAGATAAAATTGGGGGGTCCCAAAGTGGGGGGGGGGGGGGGGGAAATTGGGGAGGGGTCCGGGATCGCCCCTCCCCCTCCAAGGCACCGGAACAGCCCCGGGGAGCCCCAAAATCCCCTCAGGACCCCCCAAAATCCTCCCGGGACCCCCCAAAATCCACTCAGGACCCCCCAAATCCTCCCGGGACCCCCCAAAATCCTCCCGGGACCCCCCAAATCCGCTCAGGACCCCCCCAAAATCCCCTCAGGACCCCCCCCAGATCCTCCCGGGACCCCCCAAAATCCCCTCAGGACCCCCAAAATCCATCGAGGACCACCCTAGAAGTCCCCAAATTCCCCCAAAATCCCCTCAAGACCCCCCCAAAACCTTCCAGGAGCACCCCAGAACTCCCCAAAATCCCCCCAAAATCCTCTCCGGGCCCCCCAAAACCCATCCAGGACCTCCCCAGGACCCCCCAAATTCCCCCCAGGACCCCCAAAATCCCCTCAAGACCCCCCAAAATCCATCCCGGACCCCCCAAACTCCCCTCCCGGACCTCTCCAGGACCCCCCCAAAACCCATCCAGGACCCCCAAAGCAACCCCCGACCCCCCCAGGAGCCCCCCAAAACCCCCCCAGGACCCCCCAAATCCCCCCAAATCCCCCAAAATCCCTCCTGGACCCCCCAAATCCCCCAAAATCCCCCCAAAACCGTTCTAAGACCTCCTCGAAACCCCCCAAAATCCCCTCAAAACCCCCTCAGGACCCCCCTAAATCCCCACAGGCCCCCCCAAAACCCCTCCTGGACCCCCCAAACCCCCTCAGGACCCCCCCAAGACCCCCTGGGCCCCCCCAAAACGCCCCCAAATCCCCCCCAGGACCCCCAAAATCCCCCCCAGGACCCCCAAATTCACCCCCCAGGACCCCCCAGAACCCCTCCTGGACCCCCCCAAACCCCCTCAGGACCCCCCTAAATCCCCCCAAACCCACTCAAAACCCCCCCCAAGACCCCCTGGGCCCCCCCAAAAACGCCCCCAAATCCCCCCAAATTCCCCCCCAGAACCCTCAAATTCACCCCCCAAATTCACCCCCCAGGACCCCCAAATTCACCCCCCAGGACCCCCAAATTTAGCCCCCAAATCCCCCCCAAATTCACCCCCCAGGACCCCCCAAAATCCCCCCCAGGCCCCCCCAACCCCCCCGGTCCCCCCTTTACCTCCTCCGGGCCCGAATTCTCGGGGTTCTCACCCCAAAATTTTGGGGCTCCCGCCTCCGATTTTCGCCTTCCCGGCCTCGATTTCGGGGGGGTCCGGTGCCGATTTTGGGGTCCCCAGCCCAAATTTCTCCGTCCCGGCTCCGATTTTGGGGATCCCCCCCGAACCCCAAAAATTTTTTTTTTTGGGGGGGTCCTCGCAGCTTCCGGGGGATTTTTGGGGGGCGATTTTTTGGGGGGGATTTTTGAGGAGATTTTGGGGCGATTTTTGGGGGGATTTTTTGGGATTTTGGGGGTTCCCAGGGGGAATTTTTTGGCTTTTTCGGGGTTCCCGAGGGGGATTTTGGGGATTTTTGGGGCTTTTTGGGGATTTTGGGGGGTCCCGGGGGGTCCCCGCCGCCGGTGCCGGTCCCGGGTTCGGCTGCGACGTTTGGGGGGGGGGGAGGGGAGGGGGGGATGGGGGGGGGGGGAGGGGGGAAGGGGGAGGGGCCTGGAAGGTTCTGCGGTGACGTCAGAGGGGGCGGGGCCAAGGATTGAGGGGTTTGAGGGGTCCGAGCCCCGCCCCCCCGCGGGGTTCCCATGGTAACGGGGATGCGGCGCCGTCTCCGCGGCAACGAGGAGGCCACGCCCACTCCCGAGCCAGGCCACGCCCCCGATCGAAGCCACGCCCCCATAGCGCTTCCCCAGGCACTAATTAACGCCCAGACCACCCTAATTAACTGCTCCAGGCACTAATTAACCCCCCCAGGCACTAATTAACCCCCCCAGGCCACCCTAATTAACTCCCCCAGGCACTAATTAACTCCCCCAAGCATTAATTAACCCCCAGACCACTCTAATTAACCTCCCTAGGCACTAATTAACCCCCCAGGCATTAATTAACCTCCCCAGGCACTAATTAACCCCCAGACCACTCTAATTAACCCCTCAGGCACTAATTAAACCCCCCAGGCATTAATTAACCCCCACAGGCACTAATTAACCCCCAGGCCACTCTAATTAACCCCTCAGGCACTAATTAAACCTCCCAGGCCACCCTAATTAACTCCCCCAGGCACTAATTAACTCCCCCAAGCATTAATTAACCCCCAGACCACTCTAATTAACCTCCCCAGGCACTAATTAACACCCTCAGTCTCTAATTAACCCCTCAAAGTCCGCTAATTAAACCCCCAGGCACTAATTAACCCCCCCAGACCACCCTAATTAACCCCTCCAGGCATTAATTAACCCCTCCAGACCACCCTAATTAACCCCATCAGGCACTAATTAACCCCCAGACCACCCTAATTAACCCCCCAGGCACTAATTAACCCCTCGAACCCCCTCTCATTAAGGCCCAGGCACTAATTAACCCCCAATCAAGGCCCTTAATTAAATTCCCAGGGCTTGAGGGGAAATTTTGGGGGTTCCCAGTTTGAAATTTTGGGTTTCCAGTTTGAATTTTTGGGGTTCCCAGTTTGAATTTTCTCATTTCCAATTTAATTTTTGGTTTTCCCAGTTTAATTTTTGGGGATCCCAGTTTGAATTTTTGGGTTTCCAGTTTAATTTTTTCATTTCCAGTTTAATTTTTGGGTTTCCCCAGTTTAAATTTTTTCAATCCCAATTTAATTTTGGTTTTCTCAGTTTAATTTTTTCATTCCCAGTTTAATTTTTAGGGTTCCCAGTTTAATTTTGGGGGGTTCCCAGTTAAACTGTGGGTTCCAATTTTTTATTTTTTTGGGGGTTCCCAGTTTGAATTTTTCCATTCCCAGTTTGATTTTTTCCATTCCCAATTTGATTTTCAGGTTTCCAGTTTAATTTTTTCATTCCCAGTTTAAATTTTGGGGTTCCCAGTTTGAATTTTTGAGTTTCCAGTTTGAATTTTTTCATTTCCAGTTGGATTTTTGGGGTTCCCAGTTGGATTTTTGGGATCCTAATTTAATTTTGGGGTTCCCAGTTTGAATTTTTCCATTCCCAGTTTGAATTTTTCCATTCCCAATTTGATTTTGGGGTTTCAAGTTTAAATTTTGGGGTTTCCAGTTGAATTTTTTCCATTCCCAGTTTGATTTTGGTTTTCCCAGTTTAATTTTGGGGTTCCCAGTTTGAATTTTTTCAGTCCCAGTTTAATTTTGGATTTCCCAGTTAAATTTTGGGATCCCAATTTAATTTTGGGGGGTTCCCAGTTAAATTCTGGGTTCCAATTTTTTATTTTTTTGGGGTTCCCAGTTTGAATTTTGGGGTTCCCAGTTTGATTTTTTCCATTCCCAATTTGATTTTCAGGTTTCCAGTTTAATTTTTTCATTCCCAGTTTAATTTTTGGGGTTCCCAGTTTAAATTTTGGGGTTCCCAGTTTGAATTTTTGAGTTTCCAGTTTGAATTTTTTCATTCCCAGTTTAATTTTGGGGGTTCCCAGTTTGAATTTTTGAGTTTCCAGTTTGAATTTTTTTCATTTCCAGTTGGATTTTTGGGGTTCCCAGTTGGATTTTTGGGATCCTAATTTAATTTTGGGGTTCCCAGTTTAATTTTGGACTTCCCAGTTAAATTTTGGGATCCCAATTTAATTTTGGTTTTCCCAGTTTAATTTTGGGATCCCAGTTTAATTTTGGGGGGTTTCCAGTTAAATTGTGGGTTCCAATTTTTTATTTTTTTGGGGCTCCCAGTTTGAATTTTTCCATTCCCAGTTTGAATTTTTGGGGTTCCCAGTTTCATTTTTTTCACTCCCAGTTTAATTTTCAAATCCTTTATTGAGGTCACGTGATCCCTTATTTACATATCGTTTACATATCGTACAGCGCCGGGAAGGGGGCGGAGCCTCGGCCCCTCCCCCCTGCCCTCCCCCCCCCCAATTTTTTTTTTTTTAATTTTTTTTTTTTGCTTTTTTTACCCCTCCCCCCCCTTTCATTAACTAATTAATTATTATTAATTATTTTTTGGGGGTGGGGGAGGGGTCGCTACATATCGGAGCCGTTTTATTGCCACAGAAAGTCGGGGGGGCGGAGCCTCCCCAAAGCCCCTCCCCCTCCCTCCCCCCCTCCCCTCCCCCACCCCAAAAATGGACCCAGGCCCCTCCCCCACCCCCCCCAGGTGGGGTCAGAGGTCACGGGGACACCCTGGGAAATGTGGGCGGAGCCAAAATGGCGGGAAAAGCCGGGGGGGGTCACGTGACCCTCCCCCGAGGGGGTCTGGGGGTGCTTGGGGGGACAAAATGGCCGCCAAGGGGATCCTTGTCTCTCATTGGCTGATTCGAAATGGACAAAATGGCCGCCGAGGCGATCCTTATGGACAAAATGGCTGCCGAGGTGATCCTTGTCTCTCATTGGCTGATTCTAGATGGACAAGATGGCCGCCAAGATGATCCTTGTCTCTCATTGGCTGATTCGAAATGGACAAAATGGCCGCCAAGACGATCCTTGTCTCTCATTGGCTGATTCTAGATGGACAAGATGGCCGCCGAGGCGATCCTTGTCTCTCATTGGCTGTTTGCACATGGACAAAATGGCCGCCGAGGTGATCCTTATCTCTCATTGGCTGATTTGAAATGGACAAAATGGCCGCCGAGGAGATCCTTGTCTCTCATTGGCTGATCCTACCCAATCAAGATGGCCGCCGAGGTGATCCTTGTCTCTCATTGGCTGATTGTATTTGGACAAGATGGCCGCCAAAGAGATCCTTGTTTCTCATTGGCTGATTTGAAATGGACAAGATGGCCGCCAAGACGATCCTTGTCTCTCATTGGCTGATTCTAGATGGACAAGATGGCCGCCAAAGAGATCCTTGTCTCTCATTGGCTGATTCTAGATGGACAAGATGGCCGCCAAAGAGATCCTTGTCTCTCATTGGCTGATTCTAGATGGACAAAATGGCCGCCAAGGGGATCCTTGTCTCTCATTGGCTGATCCTACCCAATCAAGATGGCCGCCGAGGCGATCCTTGTCTCTCATTGGCTGATTCGAAATGGACAAAATGGCTGCCGAGGAGATCCTTGTCTCTCATTGGCTGATTCTAGATGGACAAAATGGCCACCGAGGAGATCCTTGTCTCTCATTGGCTGATTTGAAATGGACAAGATGGCCGCCGAGGAGATCCTTGTCTCTCATTGGCTGATTCTAGATGGACAAAATGGCCACCGAGGAGATCCTTGTCTCTCATTGGCTGATTCTAGATGGACAAAATGGCCGCCGAGGCGATCCTTGTATCTCATTGGCTGATTCTAGATGGACAAAATGGCTGCCAAGGGGATCTTTGTCTCTCATTGGCTGATTCGAAATGGACAAAATGGCCACCGAGGTGATCCTTGTCTCTCATTGGCTGATTCTGCCCATCCAAAATGGCCGCCAGGGCAATCCTGGTCCCTCATTGGCTGTCGCCGACAGAACGAAATGGCCGCCGAGCCAAGATGGCCGCCGAGCCCATCCTCGTCCCTCATTGGCTGCTGCTGCCGATCCAAAATGGCCGCCGAGCCCATCCTGGCCTCTGATTGGCTGCTGCTGCCTGGCCGAGATGGCGGCCGAAACCAAATGACGGAGATGGCGGCCGATGACGTCATCAAGATGGTGGACAGGGACGGGGCCCAGGTGTCCCAAAATGGCTCCAGGTGTGCCCAGGTCCATCCCAAATGGTCCCAGGTGTGCCCAGGTGTGTCCCCAAGACCCCCAGGTGTCCCCAGGTGTGTCCCTGTCCCACCCAGGTGAGCCCAGGTGGTTCCAGGTGTGCCCAGCTGTGCCCAGGTCCATCCCAGGTGTGCCCAGGTCCATCCCAGGTGTGCCCAGGTGTGTCCCAGTCCCCCTCAGGTGTGTCCCCACATTGCCCAGGTGTGCCCAGGTCACTCCAGGTGTGCCCAGGTGTGTCCCCAATCCCCTCAGGTGTATCCCAGGTGTATCCCACGCCCTGTAGGTGCCCACAGATGTGCCCAGGTGTATCCCAGGTGTATCCTATGCCCTGTAGGTGTGTCCCACATTACCCAGGTGTGCCCAGGTGTGTCCCCAAATCCCTTTGGGTGTGTCCCCAAGCCCTTGTCACGCCCCCAGGTGTATCCCAGGTGTGTCCCAGCTGTGCCCAGGTGTCTCCCACACCCCCCAGGTGTATCCCAGGTGTCTCCCACGTTACCCAGCTGTGCCCAGGTGTATCCCACATTACCCAGGTGTATCCCAGGTGTATCCCATGCCCCCCAGGTGTCTCCCACGCCCCCCAGCTGTGCCCAGGTGTATCCCACCTGTATCCCAGGTGTCTCCCACA